AATGCCGGATTCTGAAAAGTAACCAGAAAAGCTCGCCGACTATCGCCCCACCGCTCTTCAACATGGACCACTTCCTTTAAGAAGGGAAGGAATCTTATCATTATTTTGCATGGCAGCTGACTTCCAGAAGCCACGTTTAGCACGACTGGGACAGTCCCGTTAACCCCCCCTCCCGCATCAAGCTCTACGGCTTTACTTCGCTTACAAAAGTGCTCGTGCGTAACAAAGCAAACAATGAGGTGCACCGCGTGAGGTCAACTGGAGTTGATCCCATTTTTCTGGTGAACGCTGGAATAACTTCAGTGCTTTGCGGGCTCAACCCCTTCGTGAAAAATAAGACGCGTGGCTGGCATTGAACATTGCATAGGTGTTAACGATTTACGCTTTGAATAGTCAAAGTATCGAATAAAAATGCTAGAGCCACAAGACATGTGGATGAATCCTAGCGCGCACGCTCCCGAAGCCATTTCAAAACGAAACCCCTTCTATGGGAAATTGCGGCAGGCAACTGCTCATTTATGCCCCGGCTTAAGTCGCTAACTGCTTCTTAAGACCGGTTATCAAGTAGACTCTCTCTTTGGGATGAATTTAGACAGATTATTCCTAGCTTGGAATAACCAAGACGCCGTTAATTTGGGCTGGAACTGGACTGGACACGTATGACTACATGCCACAAGCCAGTAGTACGTTCGACTACAAAGCGGTCACGCGTGAAATCCAAGTCGAGCAACAAAAACAGGTACTAGACCCGTATACAATGCCTCGCCTCCAAAAACGGACATTCGCCAGACGATGGCTGACACTCGTAGAAATTTGCTGATTCAGTATAAAATCGAGGTTGAGAAACCTTTCCAACAACTCCTTCAGCGACCGAATTTCCGCACACTACCAAGCAGCCTCCATCCTCGTTCCCACAGGGATTACCACCGATAAAAGTTCGGATGGGTTCGTAGGTTGGACTTCAGTTTGTTTGGCGGATAAATTGAGAACCCTTACTGGGCATCTTAGGTTAATAACTCATTAACTACATGGGCAGGTCATGCATAGTTAACGTCGAAACGGTGTGGTTGATGTCAGTTGTGATTTAATTACGACATTCACACTTTATCTACCGTCGGCGAACCAGGTGTGACCTACAGAGGCAGAGTAATAAGTCTGTAAGAATAGAAACCAGAAAAAATAGGGAGATGCGCTCACGAAAGCTGTGGTAATGATACAACGACGTGTTTTGGAGCAAGCCATATACATCAAGTACTAGTGAAGTAGAGTTCAATTCATTTGACATTCAAATCAGTATGCTGATGCGAGATATTGCGAGGACTCGGCATGATTTGTTGATGAAAAGAAATTATAGGCAGGTTTTCTGTTTCATTTCATGAAGGCCACCTCACCCAGGGTCATCTGTTTTGGTTTGCTTCGCTTATTAGGCGAGGGAGGGCCACATATGTATAACAGAGAGTATGGGTGACACTTCCCGTTTACCCATTACTCGTCAACGTTTACACCAGACGTAATCGCGCCGCTCCAGCATCAGAATTTCTTTCAACGGTTCAACAGCTAGTGTCATGGTTCCCTGAGTTCGTGCGTCGCCAGTCTGTTATATCTGACTACGGTTCCCGCTCCAGTGCCTGGTGCCAGAAAAAGAACTCACCGACAAGGAACACAACAAGCGAGTGCAAAAGTTACAACAGAATTGAGCTATTTAGGTTGATGAAAGGAATTCGGTTAGACAGCTAAGCAGTCCAAGAGGGTCTACTGGATTATAGACATCACGGGACAAAGAGTTGTGAGGGAAAACGAAATCTGATTACCCATACGAAAGGGTTTTCTTTGTGGTACCCCACTCCGAGTCTCTGCTGACTCACTAATTCTACCCACCGTGCAATAGAGCGTGGGATATGGTTACGGGACCCCGCCCGCAGGGTAGTGAGTTTGGGTTTTCCTATGGGACTAAATAGTTGAGCCGACTAGAAGGTTTCGGGCGTTTTGAGGTTAATTTCACGAACCTGACTTTCCTGTTACCGGAGAATATCGGCGTTTGTGACTTCGCTGTGAGTGAGTTCCAAGTCTGTGGAGTGGTTCAGCAACGCTACCGTCCCCTTCAGTTCCTGTTTCATTTGAGGATCGATGAAATGCATTGTTCAAGGGGAGGAAGAGGAACTGGTAGACTTGAACGATGCGAACGCTTTTGTCAAGTTATCTGTCGACTACTTGGCAACATAGATTACTTTAACTAGGATTTCTTAAGTGATTCCCTACCTCAGTATGTGGTATGCAAATTCAGAGTGTTGCTTAAAGATTTTATGTCTTCCCGTATCTTTCTGAAAGTTCTAGAATAGGAAATTCAGTGTAAGGACCCATTTACTCATCTAGGCAGCCGCATCAGTTGTGACGGCACCCGGACAAGTAGGAGTCAGTAGTATGAGGAGGTTGGTAATATTTGCATGATTCATAGCGGCAGATACAAAGAGTCACGTGTACATGCGGTCTTGAGCTCTGTTTGTGGAAATCGGTCCCTCCGATTGGAGCACATCAGACGGATTCAACCGTTTGACCTTTGCAGTATTAGTTGTGCCCACAAAGAGGCGACGCTTAGGGGAATACTTTGTTATGGATTAGAATCACTGAATCGGCAACACACAAAACGCATAACTACCACTTGTCTTGAAAAAAACAATGAGGCCGACAGGCTACGCCTTAGGAACGAGGTCGTTTGCCGTCAAATCGAGTACTTTAAATGTTCGCGCCTGTTTCACTAGGATCCATGTGAGTCTCGTTGCATACGGCTAGACATCCGATAGGACACGGCACGTAATCGGTGGCAGTCGGACCAACCAAATAAAGTTTGTTTATCCCTCGTAATGCATTACTCATAAGGTTGCTGAAAATTCTTCGACAGTCCAAAACCGGTTTTGCCCTTCTTGGGGCTCATCGGGGAGGCGTAGTCCCCGAGGTTCCGTCAAACTTATGCTCTACTTGAAACCAAATTGCACGAAGTTAGCGAAATACACTCATTTGCAAACAAATTTGACTTTGAGAGAGACTCACCTGGAACCCAGCTGAATCTCTCGCTTGAGATGTTTCCAGGCAACTGAATGTGCTACACTAGGCTGCCTCATGTTTCATTTGCTACGATATTCGCTCACCCGAGTAAGTGTTCACGTGCAATCACGTTCAATCACATCACCTACGAGAATAACACTGTCAAAATTCAGCTGGAGGAAACAACTCAGAAACTTTCCGATAGAGCATTGGTCTACCGTCAGTTGAAGCAAATGCTGACAGCATAAACTGGCACATGGGCCGTGCCGATTGTTAGCGCTGTTGAAGGAAATAGGTAACCAGGCGACGCGAAGACGACCACACATTGGAATCTAGCAGAATGATTCGCGTTCACTCCTGTGACTCAACCATATATACCCCGAGTCATTATTCCAGGTTTACTAGAAACTCGAACTGTGAAAAGGCCAAATTCGTATTGAGTAGGGAGATCGAAACACACGATGATACCCACGGTGGGTGTTTTAGAGACGCGTTTTAAGTGGAGTTAAGGTACGAGTAAGAGATATATTAGCCTATTTGATAAAAGGGCGGTGGGTTGATGAAAGGAATTCGGTTAGACAGCTAACCAATCCAACGATTAGAAAAATAAACTGTTCAGCTGTCACACCCTTCGGTGCCTCGCTGCCATCCCATCCGCGGGAAGCTCGAGGGCTACGATACTGCCGGGTTGCCCAAGCCTAGACAGGGGGAGTCAAGAGGCAGAGGTCTGGTTCGAACCGCACACCTTCCGGTCAGTAAATTCGCGCCCTAACCACTTGAGCCATGAGATTAAAAGTTCGTTAGAAAATGACCAGGCTGGCTCGGTCAAAGCAACAACCGTTCTTCTGTATATCTGACCTATGAAACGCGATGTATTTAGGATGCCCGCGTATGCAACATTGCAACCACTGAGGTAAATCCGATCAAGATTTACAACTCCTTCAAAAACGCATCTCTTTTCGCATCGATAAGACAGTGAAGGGAAATAAACGAAATTGTATCTGTTATCTCAGACAGAGTCTCATAGGCTAAAACAACAATGTACAGAAGACGAAATTAATGGAGCGCGCACCGCTGTAAGCGCAAAGAAACAATTTGCAACAAAATAATCTATACAACTGCGTGTGTAACTGAACAGGCATCTTCTGATAAGACGTAGAGAATAAAAAGGAGAAAATGAACTCGAAGGTAAGTAGAAAGAAAGGTGAGCACGACGACAAGGGTACTCAGAACAGCCATAGGGTTGCTGGTTGGTAGATAGGTAGGGGGTCCTGTAGGCATCACACCAAAAAAGATAATCTTCATGGAAGACGGGTTATACTCCACCTCCACTACGATGTACAGGAACTGGGGCGCGGCTAAAGACACGTTTCAATGGGCTGTGGGACACGGTTCCTGACTTGAGAGCAGACATGAACTGAAAACGACAGAAACATCATAATCAAATTTACACTACTCATATGCGTAAGTAGGCAGAGTAATAAATAAACGAGCACAGCGGAGACGATTAATTTCCCATTAAACGCGGATTTCCAACTGCAAGTGAAGTAAACTTATTTTGAAAACTCAGAAAGTGTCGTACGACTGTTTCATCTTTGCAGAAACGCCAACTAGAGAGTATCCGTATTTTCCATCTTTTTAAAGGGAATTCGTACATTCGACTCTTGCTGAATACGCTGCTGAACATCAACGGACAATTGCCCCGATTCATTTATTCAAAAACAAGTATATCAACTAGCCAAAGCAAGAAATGAATGATATTTGGGTCTTGTTGGCAAATGAATGTCACAGACATTTGATGGCGTTGCTTTTACGTGAGCTTGTCAATTCAACCTTGTTGTATGAGAACATCCAAAATCAACTGCCATTACTCAATAAAGAAGTAGATTACAAAAGAATAGGGTTGACTCAATTATCGTAGACACCGCAACGAAGCGCATTCAATACACAATACCTTTCCACTGTCGAATAAAGGTGGGTTATCATGTTGACGACATCTTTAATAACCTGATCCCGAAGTCAATGTCTTCCTCACTGAGCTATCAAGGTAACTGCCGTGTACAGAAGAGGGCCAAAAGTGGGACGAGCATGGTTCGTCACACACCAGTAGTACAAAGTGAAACAGGACAAAAGTTGTTTTCCCCTTCAAGGATAAGTTGTCTAACCCGAAGAATCAAAATGTTCCGCCGGAATGCCCCTTCAACACGCAGACGAATAACGACCTGTAGAGACAGGGTTGAGACGCCACTCGGCTGACCAAACCTGGACAGACAGAATCGAAATGCCGAGACTGAATATCACCCATGAACCGCGAAAAGAACGTGGTGTAGTTGCCGAGGCACGGTCAATACCGCTTTCTAACACTAGGCTACATCATTGTATTGGGCCTGGATTGCAGGCGGTCAGATGACCGTGGGATGTTTGTCCAAACAGTACAGGTGACCGATTGTGAGATCGCGCTATGTCGAAACGGGTGTTGTTTCTGGTGTCAGGAAATTTGCCTCTGCCTGTTGCCGATCCGATAAAGCCATTGGGTGTAAAGGTTGTCAGCAGGGAGAACTTGCCGGGTGGAACCGATGGCCTGTTTTGGTAGTCATTGCGGCAGGGAAGGCGAGTGAGTTCGGTCCGTCACTGTCAGTGCATGGCACACAGACTGTCCCAGACCACTTAGATGAAGCCGCTGGATGAAGGTAGCGTAAACCTCACCGAGGATAGCTATGTCATTCCACGAGATAACGATGAATGAGTCATGAGCGAAGGGAAGAGTCATGAATTCTTCACTACCGTTGAGAGGTAGAAATGATTCTCTCATCTGTACAACGAACGGTTAGATTAGTTCCTTTTCCGTATGCGAGATCTTCACATTTGTGGTGTTCGAAAATGAACAAGGAATGCTGAAACACCTGATAAAACACATTTTACGTGGTGTGCCGAGCTTGGACAGAACTTGATGTGTCAGCATCAATTTCGTTTGGCAGTTCAGATATCTATATGCTGCACTTGTGTAAGCGAATCTTGTAACCCAGTAAGGTGAGTCTGACATTTTCCCGGGCTATCCAGCTTCAGAACGACCAATCCAGTTCCGATACAATCCTGCACCTTCATCAACAAACTACTGGATTCGATGTAACATTATTCTGTGTAATACGGTGTGCTGAGTCATTCAAGCCTGACCTTCGACTTCTGCTAACTCGGGTGTTTGTAATGCATTACTTGTGTAACACAATTGTGAATCAACTGCGTCCACCGTCGACCGAATAGTACAACTTTTAATGTGTGAAACTCACGTGCAAAAAATCTGTAACGTCGATGCGGCCGTTCTTATCCATATCCATTGATTCAAGAAGAACTTGCAGCGACTCCTTGCTCAGGTGCTCACCAGATTCCTGTGAAATTTTAGCAAAGATAAGGGGGGAACGGAGAGAAGGAAGGTAATGGTGACACAGAATGCAAACCAAAGAAGTCTGTAGCGCCGAGGGGCACTATACCGGCCATATAAAATACGGTTTTCAATATTGCAGTACATTTCATCTGGCTATGCCAGCGGGCCAGTTCCAGAACGAAACACCACACGTTCCATGACCAGCAACATCCAATGTACTACTTAGACACTGTAAGGAGACCGATTCAGTATACTGAACATAGCAGATTGGTCAAGTTCACCAAGGGTTAGCGCGCTGAGGCCGCGTATAACCATATTTGTTCGTTCGATCATTTGGAGGGTAACGTTAGACGGAGATAAAGAACAATAAAACTCAGGGATACCTTTCTTTGACACGAAGCGAAGGATAAGGTCCACCAGGAGTATTGTGACCCATGTCAGTTCTTCGATCAATGGCGACCTTTCGCCCTAGATTATCGTATGAGGCCCAAGAAAATTAAGAAAACTGGTGACACTCCTATCACATTACAATCACACACCTCATGTAAAAAACACTTCCGAATCGATAACTAATGTACAGCTATTCACGTGGGAAGTCAAAAAGTGCAGTATGCGCTGACATGCGAATGAAACACCGGGGAAGGAGTAGATGGGACAGAACTTCTTCGAATCATGCGTGAGCACAGAAACTGCAAACACCATCATGAGCCATAGAATTTACGACCTTTTTTCCGATCAATGACAGGTCGAACACGATCAGTTGGTGTGGGGTAGGCGCTCGTCTGGTTAGAATTCAAGTTCGACGTGGTCAGTAGTCCAAACGAAGTTTAAAAATCCAGCTCTTCACACACTCAACTACCAAATTGCCGGATGTGAGGTGAAATGAAGTCCCATCTCTAAGGGGGTCCATTTCAGGATGAAACACTCGCACTCCTTAGAAAAGAGACGTTCTGCTTCTTTGAGGGTCTATCTCACAGTGGAGAACACATTGGTTTTTACTGTAAATAAGGGCACACAAATGCTAGTACAACCGTACGCAGTAATTAGTTTTCTATAGAGGAACTACGGAAGAGGAAAGAAAACCATCTATTCAGAGTATTCCAGAACAATGGATATCCAAGTAGTTTAATCAAGAGAAGCTTGAAGAAGACATTCCAAAACAACAACGGCAAGATCAACCCATCTGACCGGTAGTCCTGCCTTACATCAAGAATATATCAGAACTCGCAGCAATTCGTATTAGAAGGTCTCACAAAATATGCCACTCACTCACCTCACAACAACGGCTCAAATCAGACAGGGTTATGTATCCTTTGGTTCCGGCATCCAATTTACGAAAACGTTGTAACAACTGATCTGTCTCTTCCATCGTCAAGTTGATTGGAACGCTCTCTTTGCCTTGCAAATGTAGGCCCATCTCGGATTTTAGAAATTCCTGAAAAAGAGGATAAGGTCACACCACTTAGTCAGGGGAAGATCGCATCGCGACAATAAGTGCGAAGGACTTTCACTGGCTCTCAAACCGGTAGAACGCCTCAGATTAAAAGCGAATAATTTTTATTGTATTTGTGAATGTGTTTGTAATCGACTTGTAGCAGAAGCTCATGATCTGTAATTCCAGAACTGATTCCCAGAACTCAGTGAAGTATTGTCCATAGGGGCAGCAAAACCGAAGACTACGATAAAACTACAAAAGGGAAAGAACACAGGACGCTCTCCAAAGGGAGGCACGCGTTGCAGTATACACATTGCCAACGTGAACTGTGCATGCCCGCAAACATGTATGGGGCTACAGATGGCTAAAGATGGTTGCGGACAAAAAAACCATGAATTAAACTATTTTAGGACGACTGACCTCGACAACTTTCGGTGAAATATGTCACGCAATGTCCCATTCTTCGCCTTTACGGAGGACAGTTTGTTTCCTAACCGGGGAACACGTAAAGCTTAGTAAAAGAAATGGCAAAACAACCCAACGGTTGGGGTATTCATTTCTTAAATCGGAAGGATCCAATCAAAGTCCATGTGGCAAGGCAATATGAGGCCGACCAATGATTGGAGTCAGGGTGGAAAACGCAAGAAACTGCCAAGCATTTGCATCCAGTAGCCGAGTTGAGAAGAATCGTGTCTATGAAAACGCAGTAAAGATTCATCCTCGGAGACCAATCAGGATTTATATAACTGTGACAGCTTTCCGCTGCCTAAAGGAACTACGAGAGCGGAGACAGTGTCAGGTTGTCAAAGCCTAGAGAAGAACAGTCGAGACTCCGAGGTTTCGTTCGAACAACGGATTTTCTGGTCACTAATTTCGCGCCTTAGCCACTGAGCTATCACGATTGGGTCACACACAAAAAAATCGGAAAAAATGCTGCGTAAAGCCGGGTTCGCCTTAAAGTATGGCAGTCACGTTAGAAAATGGGCTATCCATAGTGGTTCAGGGACGCAGTCAGAATCACTGCAACTAAGCATCGATCGAGAAGTTCGTTGCTGCTTCGGTAGGAATATAGTCAGTGTACGACCACCTCCTAATACAAATTACATCGAAAGCACGTCAACCGGCAATTCGTAACGGTCTATCTAGTGAAAGGAGAGCAGCAAAGTGCCAGCATAAAAACATATGTATGTTTGACAATTTGTCCGTCGGCGAAAAACAATGACCACGGATGATATAACTCAAAACTCTGATGAAATCATGAAACGAGGGAAGGGAGGTATCCCTCGGAAACCGGACGACTCAATTGGTTACAGCGTGGATTTACTGACCAAAATGTCCATTTCGACTTCTGTCTCTCAACTTCCCCTGTCTAGGCTTGGGCAACCCCAGCCCTCGTGCTTCCTTCGGGTGGCATGGCAGCTAGGCACTGGAAGGGTGTTACAGCCAAACAGATTTTTACGAGATTTATGCAAGTGTTCGGCACGGAATCAGATTTGTTTCGACGTGTAAGTTCCTCGTACCGGTGTGATCATCTCATTGTATTCCCCCATTCCAATATTACGACAAGGTGAAGTCATATCGGCCTCATCAACACGCAGTTGCTAAAGAACACTATTCGGTGCAATGTGAGTGTATGTCTGCCGCTGCAACGAATCGCAATCAATACCAAGTATCCAATTACGCATCACTCCGTTGCGGACTCGCTGGTACCAGTATGCTCTTGTTATGCTGCGGAAACACTTGTGACGAAACACTTGGAGACGCTGAAGATCCTCGGATCGGAGGGGCCAAAACTCGCAACCACAGAGCAAGACCACTCTCACATAGCACTTCAACTTCGGCGAAATTCGGTTCTGACGCCACAAATGACGCAAGTTCGCGAAGACCACTCGCGTCTTAATTATCTCTGCACTAACTTTATCTGTTACAGCACACTCACGGCTTATACAATCGCCGAGATACGCGAGTCGACCAACAAACTCAAGCTCTCCATTTAGAAGTTCTGGAGAAACACAAGTGGATGGGAAACCTTCACGCTCTGAAGATGCAAAACGCGCGCCAAAACATGGCATCATTCCCGATATTCCGCTCCCTCGAAGGGTTCTTTTCGCATAACCATGCAAAGGGTGGAAACGAACCAGGGGAGGTTAATCAATAACTTGGTAGCGAAGCATGGAAGCTATTATCAACAAACGCAGCCGCGATGGTCACTGCCGTCTCTCTAGATGGGAAACTCGGGACGGGACACATCAAGAGTTATAGACTGTCAGACAAGGCGTAGTCACGCCCTCAATGGAGCTCGTGCGTCCAAGCATTCAGTTCACAGCTCCCCTCCAAATCTCCCCAATCAAAAGTCCAAAGACGGCCCTGTATTTACACCTCAGTCGTGTCATCTACATCACCTCCACAGATCATCAGTCAACGAAACCGTGGCAGCTATAACAAGTACGCGGTTTCTACAGCTGATGATGATAATCAGCAAACAACCAAACTACGTCGTTCACATAGTCCAAATCAACTAATCTCTCAGGATATCTTTGTAATGTACTACTCATAAGGCTGCTGAAAATCCGTCGACAGCCCACGACCGGCTTCGCCATTCTTGGGGCTTATCAGATAGGCGCAGTCCCCGGGTTTCCGTCAACCTTATGTTCTACTTGAAACCAAATTGCACGGAATCAGCGAATATGCACTCATTTGCAGTCCACGATAGCCCACGGTTTCAAGTAGAACATAAGGTTGACGGACACCCGAGGACTGCGTCTACCTGATGAGCCCAAATAAGGGCGAAACCGGTCGTGCGCTGTCGACGGATTTTCAGCAACCTTATGAGTAGTACATTACAAAGATATACACGTATCGCGATATCTCGAATATCATAGTGACTGAAACATGAGGCGGCCTGGTGCAGCACATTCAGTTACCTGAGAACATCACAAACGAGAGATTCAGCTGGGTTCCAGGTGAGTCTCTCGAAAAACCAAATTAGTTTGTAAATGAGTGTATATTCGCTAGTCCCATAGGACTTTATTTTGATACCTATATCCACGGTCCCTTACACTATGCACTCCACGATGATGTCGATGACAAAACTGAACAGCAAAAAGACAGAGGTGACAATCCTGACGAGCTTCACCCGTTGTCGAGAAGCTTCTGAACTGCCCATTACAGACCCTACTCGACGGGTGGTACGGAATGGAAAATGTTTACAAGCTCCAACAGCATCTCCGTCTAACCAAGCTAGTCGAAGGCTCCTGTAAAGTTGAAGAAAACCGTGACTGTTGGTTGGCTGTCGAAGTGGCTTTGCTAGAGCACTGGGCATAAAGTGCTGTCCGGCTTGCGTCCAACGTGCCTAAGATAGGTGTTGCAATATAATGAAGGCCAGTAGCCGTGTTACAACAGGTGTGAAAGCTGTACCGTACGGTTCAAACAGTCGGTTCCGGTGGATTTTTTGTTTGAACGATTGGTCTTAACCGTCTGGAACGTGTTGTTGAACAACCTACTCAAAGTGGTAGACAAAGATCCTTCTCCGTCTTTGAACAGTGCTAGGAGAAGCCCATCTAGTCCAGCAGACCGAGGGTGCCTCAAGGCAGAAAGGCATACTAGCACTTCATCAACTGAGGGGGGCATTAAACGGCTCGAAGTAAGCGAGTTAGATGGAATACATGGATATAGTGGCAGAGGGATAGTAAAACAAAAAAAAAACGCTATTTAGTAATATTGATGCCTACCATATTACAAATAATGCAACATAGTATGTGCAGAATGCAGACTCGAGTGGAGGGACTGTTATTGAGCAACCCCCCATCAGGGAATCAAGCTGGCCTGTCACAGTGAGGAGGGGGGTGACCACAAAGTTCACACAAACCCCAGAGAACTCAGAGAATACTTAGTCCACAGTGAGCTCGGCTCGAGGATAATCACTGTAGTTTGACTATTACCAGCAAACTCAGCTCTGCTGGTTGTTACCGTCTTCGTGGATGGGGACCCCGAGACGGGCCACATCAATGGATAGAGACATTGTCAAACATGGTCCAATCGCGCGCTCAATGGCGCTTTTCAATGCAAAGCTCCTTTCCCAACCCCTCCCCACTTAACGATCCACCTAAAGTACTGTATTTACGCACCCATTTATCAGCCTCCAATGCGCAGCTTTCTACCTCACCTCCACGAATCATCGGTGAACGAAACTGTGGCAGCTACAACCACTGTACGACAAGTACGCGGTTATTACAGCTGATAATGATGATGACAATGAGTTTGACCAATAAATAGGTGGCCAAACGCTATGGTCATTCGATATCAGCTAAGTAAGTTCAGCGCTTTTCGGAAGAGTTCCTAAAAAACGATCGAATGGACACCAGAATGAAAACTTGCAACAAAATAAAACAGATTGAATTTGTTGCTCCACTGAACTTAATGAAGTAGTCAAAAAATAAATGCAGAACAAATGAGGCGACGAAAGAATTAAAAAAGAAACGCAGGTCACCGACAGCGAAATTCCCCATGCTCCACTCAAACTGTGAAGAGTGAACGGTGAAACGAAAAGCGACCGATACGAGGGGAGAGAAAAAATCTACTTACGACCGCATTGTCTCAGTGCTCATCTCATTCTCCAAAAATTGCTAAATACGGGAAAGGGGATAGGACTTGAGGTTATAGTGAAGTCCATTCAAGCAGGCAGAGTACATATCTATTGAGAACGTCAAAATTTTCATCTTACTTGTGCATGTTCCAACTCCTCTTTCTGCTTCCGTTTGTCCCAGCCTAGTTCGACAGCCATCAGTTCGACAATTCTGGGCAAAGCCTCCTGCGCAGCGACCACGTTGAGAAAAGCCAACCGCGTTCGACGAGCAAGGAAATCGATTGCTCGACATGCGTACTCCTGACAGGCCCATTTGACCTGAAACGGGTGAGGATAGGAAATTATTGGGTAGTCTCTGAATCCGGACAGTTGGAGTCGAGTTTTCGGTACCACAAAGTTCAGGAGGTTACAGCCACCTTACCGTTTGAGTGAGCTTTCCGACATGATGAGCCAAGTGTACGCAAAATATGCGTGCAGACAAGCAAGGAGGAAGTGGAAATCAAAGATGGTGACACCTCTGAGTTCGCTTACGTCAAAGTGTTGGAAAACACTCATTTGCACTTCATACCGTGTCAACAAAATCCATGTAGCCGAGGGAACCTCAGGCGACAGCGCTAACTACTGGAAACAACTGTTCCTGTCGATGGATTTTCAGCAACCTTATGAGTAGCACATTGCAAAGATAAACTGTTCCTAGAATCTAGTTCATATGTTGAAAGCCTGATGGTGTGAAATTCACCACAAAGATTTTGAAAAAAACTGCGAATCACACAACAAGAATTTGGTTTTCTTCGCGTTAATTAGAGAAGAACCACTCCACTTCAACTAAAAATTCGCCGAACGGCGACTGGGACCAATCTCAGAAGAGTATGTCAGACAAGGCGAATACGCGTCGATTTGAAGTCAACTGAAGATCATTTCCAGATTGTACCGGTAAAATAGAATCCTCTCGTGGCGTCAAATAATTCGCGAGATAGTAGAACATCAGGCAGTTGGCTGAATGAATGGGGGCTGGCCAATACTGAAAGAACTGGTAAACATCGTTCAATTGTTACGCCTTCGTTGGGAATCAACAGTAGTATATGTGCAGAGTTCTGGGCTAGCCTCAGTCATGTGTTAGTGCTCCAGTTGTGACGTAATTAAGTTGATTATCAGAGGCACTAACAAATGTCTGTCTTACTAGAATGTACGTGATAAAAATAGATACAATCCAAAAAGTGGAATGAGCCAAAAAAGTGAGTTGTCGTTTGAGGACACTTGTGGAGAGTTCCTGAGTGAAGTTCCGGACGCGGGACGTGTCTTCCTGGCATTACAGCTGCTACACATGTTCTGTGGAGACTTGCGGAGCTCTGTTGACTTCCTGTCCTGTGCGCGCGAGTGTTGAGCCTAGTTGTATGCCTATTTATTGTGTGCAATGTGAAGAGAGGGGTGTCCCTTCGTGTTTGATACTTGCACGAACATGAATACAACCTGACCTGATGTGTTGAATGAAGTTCATAATCCTGGCGCGTGACGCAAGTGGTAGCCGCGTGAACAAAAATGGTTGAGAAGTTTTACTGTACCTATGTCGGCTGAGGTTGCAAGTGGGACAGGAATTGTCACGTAGTTTGAGCGTTTGTGACGCGTAATCTGATGAGTGACCTCTACACATGTAACCAGTGTTATGACATATGTTATATCTCCAGGTGAACAGAAAGACGCGCCCATCCTTCTCAGCAAATTGAAAAAAAACGGACAGACTGGTCCGGAAAAATACCAGATTATAGACAGTGACTGGTTGGTTGAGTAAGCTCCGGATGGCTCAATGCTTGAAGCGCGAATATACTGACCGGAAGATCTGTGGTTCGAATCCGACCTCCGGATCTCGACTGCTCTAGTGTCTAGGTTTGGGCCACCTGGCAGTGTCTTAGTACTCGTGCTTCCTTCAGGTGGCACGGCAGTTAGACACCGAAAGGGTGTTACAGTTGAACCGTTATTCTATAAGTATGCTCACTAGGCAGCCAAAAGCTTGTAACGTCATCTACCTATGCTATGATTTATCCATTGTAGTACCAACTAGTTGTTCACACATGGTCATTCACATTCGTTGCGACTTTTTCATTCACGGGTGCGATCAGTTTGATTGGGTTTCATCCCGCTTCACGGTTTTACAGTCACACAATTTTGAATACTTGAGAATTTAGTTCGAACCCAAAGTCTACTGTACCGTGCCTGCCAGTTTGTGAACAGATTCCCAATATGAGAAGGGTGCGTATGCGTGGTGGGACAATCACGGGAGAAGTACCCTTGTCACGAAAACATCAATCATGTTTGTTGGGACCAATCCAATTTTAACAAACGCACAAGGATAACCCCGTGTGAAAAATACCTCTGCTTCGATGAACGGGAATTCCGGATGTAGCTTCTTGCCCAAAACTGGCCATCGCCGGCCAGTGAGCGATGCCATGTTAGCGATGGCCAAAGCTTTGTCCCCGTAAATACCGGTGAGATGTCTGGCCACATCAACATCCATACCATGCTCCTGGACCAGTTGGATGAACAGATTCGGCGTCCAGTTGTGCGCGCCTTCCAGCAACAGGCCTTTTGTCCGACAGTCGTTCTTCGGTTTGAGATTACAAACCTAAATGAGAAGGCCAAAATCACGGGTGCGATTATTGGTTAGTGTGGGGGCGATGAGTAGAGGGTCCACTACTACGAAACATGAAGAGCATGTGTAGGAACATAGATAAAGATACACTGTGAGAAAGTGCGGACCAGATGGCGACCGCAATAGGCACGATTGGTCGGGTCACGTATATATCAGATGGGTCTACACACAACTGGGAAAGCAAAATAAGGACGAAACCGTTCGTAGGGTTCGTGCGGTTTTCAAGAACTGATGACGCTTCAAAAGCCTCGCCACTAGTGTGTGATGATGTAGCTGGCACACTCCGATCGCAGGTCAGCCAGGGCGGAATGGTTCGAGTGGTTAGAGCGCGAATTTACTGACAGGAAGGTCCGTGGTTCGAACCCGACCTCTGCCTTTCGACTTCCCCTGTCTAGGCTTGGGCAACCTGGCAGTATCCCAGCCCTCGTGCTTCCTCGCTTCCTTCGCAGGTGAGCCATGAAAACAGTTTGGGAGCCGTAGCAAGTTGCCGATAACCGACCTGAGACGTCATAGGCTAACAGGATGCATTCAGGCTTTTTGTAGCAATCAGGCTACTCATTTGTTTTACATGCCAAAATGAATAGCAATTTGGAACGAAAAAATTTCCACAGCGTCCAATGACTATACATACAATCTATTACCTAGGAGACAGAAGGTGATACTTTCCACGATTGCTTGTAGCCAGAATGTGAATAACCAGCCACTTACGGGTGTTTATTGATAGAATTCCTCGCCCTGTCGTAACAAACGAGTCAACATTCTGAACACCGCGACGGTGTTACCTCTACGTTTAAGGTATCAGCTTCTTTTAACGAACATGTTCAGAATTTGCACAACCGAGTCCAACCTGCGGCGCAGAATAGGAATTAGCCGAAAACACCCACGGACATGATTTTGAATCCAAAAATTGCTCAACCTAGTGTTCCCCTGTTATTCCCGCCCAGTCTTGCGCGGCCGATGAATTGCTTTACAAAAGTTTGACCGCGGGAAAACAGTTAGCTGGAAAGACAAATGACGGGATCGCAAACAAAAGGGATAATCCAAAAATGGAAATACAGATTCACCGTCAGAAGTAGTACAAGTGATGTTCCATGTGTATTTTTTCAAGAGATCGAACCAAAAGATGGGTATGGCGGTCAAACATTAATTGCTCTAAGCAAGATCTGCTAGAAAACCTGGGTCCCCCCCACAAATAACTGGTTTCCCCAGTAAGGAAGACTACGTCCGGCAGAATTTCCAAGCAGCTGCATGCATAATCACGTGACCCTCAACCAGGAAAGGCGGACGTATTCACGATCCAGTGATGTGATTGGTTGGCCCGACGGCTCGACCGACGGGCCAGTAACTGTCTTGGTTGTGTCGATCGATTGACCAGCTTGTCAGAACATCCAAGTTAGGACGGTCACAGTTCAATGAGTCTGGCAAACCAATCGCATCAAGAGTGAATACATGTCATAATTCAGGATCCAGTGTGCGCTGATGGCGTAGTGGTGACACGCTCGCCTTGCATGCCAGAGTTGCCTGGGGGGCGCATGACCAAGGTTCTACTTTAACTGCAGACCACGGCATAGATGCCTGAACCCGTTTTGTGTAATACTGTCACCACATGTTGGTCGTTTGACCGACTTTCGTGAATAAATTCCGACAGACTAAAAATGATCCATTTCGACACTCTATTGGAGTGAGGAAAACTGAAAGTCAAAGTAAGGATCTTCTAGGATCCAAAGATGAACGTCGAAGCAACAGGGTGAGTCGATCTGAAGGAGCATTCGCATCAGAAGGATCGAATACACCGACTGCTCTGAGAATACCAGAAATAGCGGCGCGTTCACGTCAAACGGACTTACAATCTGTCCGTGAACTAACTCTACCTTGTTTCTATCTAGTGATAACCTCCACAGCTCCAGTAATCCACCTTTCGAACTCCTCTGTCAAGATGTCGAGGCTGGCGATATTTGACGACGAATGAGTAGGATGTGCGACAGAAACCAGCAATGAAACGGATCACCGGCTCAACGTCTGTCTGGCTCAGTCCCAGTCACTGTCAGAACTGTTTTCATATCCTTCCTTTGAAGTTGAGACGGGCAAGTCACGACCTAAGTCCCTTTGAAGTTCAGACGGGCAAGTCACGTCCTAAGACAGACCAGATATATTACCGCAGCTATTCCATTGAAGAGTCAAAAACAATTTAAAGAAAGCAACGCAGTTTGGAGAACAGTTGGATCACGTCCACACCCCGTGAGAGAATTTTTCGACCTATGTGTATTACTCTCCGGGTCTTCGGGACTATAGACATGAGATGTGAATGTGAGCGGAGAGTAGATAAACTGTTATGGCCCCACCAGGAACTGTTGCAAGATCATGGAGAAAAAGAACTTATCATCTATTTAATATGAGGCGTAGCATGTCTGTTCGTAGCTCTGGTCTTTGGCATTTTCCCTTTCAAAAGTTCCAACAAAGTGCTCAGTTTTCCTTCACAACTATTTTCCAGTTTAAACCAGGTTTAAACCTGCAAACGAAATAAATTTTACGGCTCCAGAACTCAAGACAAAGTTGGAAAGCATTACTCCGTTAGCCCACGAGACCAAGATATCGGGCGCGCGTTGACTGCAGAAACAGATTGGTCAAGAAGCATAACTCGAACGTTCTGAGTTATCGATCGAATTTTTCGGCCTGTCAGTCGGCAATGCACTTGCTTCCACGTTGTTTACTGGCGCGTCGTTTCCCCATGAATCTTTTGCCGTTTGCACGCTTGTTGGAGCAGCGATTATCTATCGCTTATCTAACCTAGACATTTCCACCACATGAGTAGGATGTACTTTGCTCGACGGCGTGATCAGCTGATCATGAGTACCGGGGACTGAGGGTGTCCGAAAGGCTCCAAAGCAAACTCAATCGAATAAAAGATTGGCGGGCCCCAAACGTTGATTTAGTAAGAAACGAAAGGGCGCAGAGTCAGAAGCAGACATCCATGGGGATACCAAGTTATCAGGTCGGCCTAATTTTAATGACAATAGTGGCTAGAAGTAGTTACTGATAACCAATAGATAGCAATAAAATTTCAAAATTTTTACCGGGAGTGCTGAGGTCCGGAGTGAAGTCACCTACTCACCGTGTGTAAATTCTCAAAAGAGAACCCTGAGGCCACAAGACATAGATTTACCCGGAAAAACATTTGCCTCCAAGCTAAACGAAAGATAATCGTTCAGCTGTAACATCCTTTCGGTGCCTAGCTGCCATGCCACCCGAAAGTTGCACAAGGGCTGGGATACTGCCAGATTGTCCAAGCCTAAACAGGGGAAGTCGAGAGACAGAGGTCGGGTTCGAACCACGGACCTTGCGGTCAGTAAATGTGTGCCCTAACCACTGAGCCACTGAACAGCTCGTGAATACTGCTCAGAGGCATTTTACAGATGAAGCGCTAATTTGAAAACCCCAACATTCTAAAGTAAACGGAAATATTACACGTAAAAGTTCATGGATAACACAGACAAACACATTATTGTCCTTGACCTCATAAGGATAGAACAATCTGCAACAGCAGTGGGGTGAAGGTGACAACAGATCAATACACTGTGTACGCAAATACCAGACGAAACCAACAGAAAAAAAACCGCAAGTGTGATTGATCATATGATAACCTTGCCACATAGGTGCACCGGCACGCCTAACTTACCCGACTGTCTGGTTGTCGGCGTTTGTAGTAAGATTAGTAAACATGTGGACAACAAAAGTTACTGGGCGAAGCCTGGTCACCCAAGTGGTACACCATGTCAGTGTGTAAGAACAAGCCGTTTCAGTGGATTCAGAGAGGCACTGAGGAGGGAGTTTAGAGGAGTTAGTTAAGAGACCGAGTGACCTATTGGACACCCTGCTTCTGCAGATTTCAAATTCAGACCAGTAAGCGGACTAGTTGAACGTAATACGCCGATGCAGGAAAGGATACATCTTTGTATGTATTAGGGAGTCGGTCCACCGCTGGCCACCCTATACGACAGATAAAAACTTTGATTTATCAGCTGGACAACGGAAGAATCTCAATGGTGAGTGAGAGTCCGCTTTTCCGCACACACCGACAGATTAACCCCACGCAGAAATACTGATGTATTAGTGAGGAATGAACAAATGTGAGGAATTATGCGGCGATCGATCAATAGCTGTGTAAAAAAGATAGATATCACTTAAACCAAACTCATGAAACGAAGAGAATCTACCAGAACAAGGTACGCTGATTCGACCCACGGTGAGCGACTGCGAAGCTTTACACATGTGGGTGACCTCTACCGGATAGAATTTAGCACTACTCCATGCATGTTGGTAGATCAGGGCAACCTGATTTAACTGAGCACAGCAAATATGTGCCAAAAAACAGAGCCTACAAATAAGTCAAACCCGGCACCGAGATGAATCAGCAGAAGTTGATATTGCAGCGACAAAAAAGCAAACGTGACGAACCTTAACTGCCTTATCTATTGTCTCTTCTGCCATACTCCGATATGTGGTCCATTTCCCACCGGCGATAGTGATCAAACCACTTGGTGATACCTCGATCACGTGATTACGAGCAATAGATTGCGTGTCGGCCGAGTTCGGATCCATTATCAGAGGGCGTATCCCGGACCAGGCCGAGAGGACATCTCCACGACGAACTGCAGGCGGTAGGGAGAATGATGGACCGGATAGAAAGGGAATGAGGTGATGAAACAAGACGGTACGTCTATAGCATAACGTGTTATCCCACAGAATTTGGCTAAAAAAAACTGTTCAGCTATAACACCCTTTCGGTGCCTAGCTGCCATGCCACCCGAGGGAAGCAAGAGGGCCGGGATACTGCCAGGTTGCCCAAGCCCAGACAGGAAAAGTCGAGAGACAAAGGTCGGACTTTCCGGTCAGTAACTTCGCGCTCTAACCACTTGAGCCATCTCACCCCAATTTGGCTAAGGAAATCGTATGAAACTTTAAAAAAATTCGTGTAAAATAAAATAGGATACTTCAGGATAGGCAACAACAAAATGTGACGTCCACTAAGAAATTTTACATTCCTGGCCCATGTGGGATATAGTGATAAGAGACGGGAAGTTGAGTGAGTAGTAATACCTCAGTGGGATTGATAACATATACGAGGACAGAACTTGAGTGTTCAACTCCCCAACAGTGCACCGAGGAAAGAACTGTGGAGTTCAAAAACTACTGGACCGTTGGTCAAGAGTACCCCACTGATCTTTGTGGTACAACTGAGCATACAGAAAAATGTTGCAGTGTAGCGGTTGTGCAACCTTGATGTCAACTGGCTGCAAAAAGACGCTGAAAAGTTTTAGAAAGAAAGCAGTGGCAAACACGTTCTATTCACGACAGGTTTCGTTATTCGCATTACAAAGGGACGGTTCTCTTGTAGTGCACAGAAAAAAGTGACCCCGCTCATCTCGAACGGACTCGTTAATCAATCTTTTCCGTATGAAGTTCCCCAACGTATCTGTTTCCTGAAAGATTCATTGGTCTCTCAAGCACTGAGAGCTACGAATGATAAGCAGCGGTAAAGGAACAGCCACTAAGGAAACAAATCAATTCCAGAGAGGAGGAATACCAGGGTAAATAGGACAAACCTTTGATGTCGGGGGACAAATAGTCTCGAATCTCATCTAATATGAAGCGCACCTCTGCTTCCGTGGGGCTTGGACGGTCTGTCAGCGTGCACGGACTGTCGGTGGTCCCTGCCAGAGCGAAGTTCATCCACGGCAGAAAGAAAATGACGCGCCCGTCGCGAGTAGACGGGTCAAGAAGGCCCATTCTGGAAGGACTGTATGTAAAAGATCCGAGTAAGTGTGTGCCACTCAGGTTACTTTATGGTGCGGCGAACTAACCATACTGCACATACCTGTAGTATCCGGGAAGAATGATATGTACACCAGAAGCGGGTTGACAAATGCCTGGCTGGTTTTTGTCGTCCATATGCCGGATTCGATCTGTGTAAGGACCCATTGATCACNNGCCCGGACCACAAACTCTTTCCCAGTTAGGCGATCTCGAACGCGCGCACCTGTTACCACTTCAGGTTGTTTATCCAGATTCAGCTGGCCAGTTTGAATTGTGGAGGCAGCCAGGGAGTGGTACGGCCTTCCCTTGGTCAGCTCAAGTACTTCAACGTAGTTGGCAATGGCTGCATTGTACCGAACAGCGGTCAGCGCAAGGCTCAGACACATTCGAGCATCCTCGTGTTGACCTGAATGATAAACAGATAAGAACATAGAGGATTATCAATCCCAAAACTAGCGAGTTGACAATTTGCCAGGACACCGATAAAAACTTTGCTCCTCTACCATGCCTCCATTACAAACGGTAAGGCTTCCATCGAAAGAGAGTACTTTCACGTTGAGAAGTCCCTTGTGGTAGAGTTGTGCATCTGTATTAAAACGTCGAGTTGGTGTACAATCACTCGTCAAAATATCCGTAGCGAAGTTCCCGCCACACTTGGTAGAAAGTGCTGATTGATCGCTTCACTCAGGTTCATACATTTGTCCAGTTCTCCTAGGATTTTCAGGTAAACAGTAGGCGACACCTCCAGGGAGAGGAGCGTCTGTGAAGTTAGGCTCTAAGCAAAATAACTGAGACATACTGCTGTTTGATGCCACATTAAAATGGTACAAACGCCTCCCCCACCCTTTAGTGCGTATCTGCCGCGAAACTGGAAGGCAAGAGGGGTGGGATACCATCAGGCTGCCCAAATTGACACAGGAGCAATCAATCCCCCCCCCCACCTTTAGTGCGTATCTGCCGCGAAACTGGAAGGCAAGAGGGGTGGGATACCATCAGGCTGCCCAAATTGACACAGGAGCAATCAAAAGGTCATGGTTGGGTTCGGTAGTGCAAGGTGCGTATTAAATCTTGTCTCGTTTTTCGGATGATATCTCTTCAAACACTGCCAGGTTTGATTCAGTACACAACAAACATGTCGTTTGAGAGTCTAGCAAACCGATTCCGAGTGTCCAAGACAGTGATGCTCACAGGATTCGTATTGTTCACTGGTAATTTCTCGTTTCTAAAATGTTTGTGAAGCTACACCAAGAGCTTGTACAAAGAAAAACGAACTTCGTGTCAGTGAAGTATGAAGAGAAACCGGCAGACCTTTGGAATGCTTTCAAAATTTACTGGGACGATAACTTCTCGATCGGTTTCAAGCGTTTTGCAATTGGCTAAACACAGGTTTCGTCCAAGGACCCAAAAATTTTCATCAAAAACTGAGCGTGCCTAACAGCGCAGCCGAAATGTCTGTTTTCTGGTGATCCTAGCAAACGGATACCAGCGTATGCACGCGCACCGCGGCTGAATTCTAAAGTACTAAACTGCCACTCGATGCGAATCGGAAAAGCATACAGGTGCCGCGGGACAATGGACGCTTGCCATCTGGTGCGTAGTTGTTGATTGAGAAATGCAGACCAATTACAGGTAGCACTGTTACTATGATGTTTCTTTTTTTGGTTCGGTTCTGGGAGAGCAAGACAGTTCCCCGGAAGAGGACAGCACTGCAC